GATGAAATTGTGGGTGATTTTGAATTTTAAGTTCAGGTGAATTTACTGCCTCAAGTGACAGAGCTGAATTTTGAGACAGAAGTTCATATTAACGCTTAATCTTGATTGAATTTCTCTTAGGCAGAAGATACGTGCTGTGTTATGACAGTTGCATCTCTGCTAGGGTCTGAGATTGAACCACCAGTTCAGTTCTGACTGGCAATAATCAGTAGAACCAAGTGAACCTCTGAGAGGCAAAAGGTTATCTTTCATATTTTTTATAAGGTTTTAAATGGAAAGAAGTAATGAGAGAGATACAGACGTTCTATAGAACCAGCAAACTTATTTCTAAGGGTAATTTTTTAAGACGCATGAAGAGCTTTTAAGTCTTGGTGAACAAAACTTAGCTATTAGCTGTTCATTAACTTAGTAGCAAACGTTCAGTAATTTAGTAGCAAACACCTACTTGAGTTTCTATTTGTTTGGTTTTTTTTTTTTTTAATCCTGCTATGTACTGAACATGGTTTAGGAAATTAAATAACTAAATCGGAGTTTGGTTTAATGTTAAAAAATTAGTTTGATCTTCAGTATCACTTCTTTTCCACAAATTTGTGTAGTATTTCAAGAAATAGAAGCAGTCAATTTTTTTGTTTATCTGTGGGATGTAGAGTGTCTAACCGTAAAGCGTGAGTTCTAAGATCACTGTCAGTTTGAACATGGCAAAATTTCACTGGACATAGGTGATCTGCCTTTGATAGCTGTGGTAAAATAATGGTATCAAATGATCCACTTCTTGCATTTGTTGACTCCATCTGTAAGAAACCACTTGTGATAGAAATGAGGGATGCATGCATATATTTTTAAAGGTTCTTGCTTTCCTAGATGTAGCATAGTTTAGAAAACCAGCTGTTATGGCCATGTTTTTCAGGGAGAGGACTGGCTATAGATCTATTCTTATTACTGTATGACATTGCATATAAAGCTATATAATTCGTCAGACTTAAGTTGAGGACAGCATATGACAGCAGTGATAAAAAGCAGAATCATCAATACTAAAGGAATATTGAGAAAATATGTGAATTGGAAGGGAACAAACCTCAGTTAAATAATGAAGACTAGATTCAGAAAGAGAGAGAGAAATGGAAAAAGTTCTGACAACAGAATTTAAGCAAAAACAGGATAATTGAATCTACCAGCATTTACTAAAAGAAAACACAAGTGGAAGACTCTGTATGCAAATTTAAAAAATAAGGGCAGATTGTTCATTTATTATGTAAAGTCCAGTGCTGGGCCCCGACTGGTCTGTACATATGCTAACTAGATTAAACAGGTCAATAAAACAAGATTGTAATACAAGAAGTAATTGGTGGCTAATCCCTTCTAATTAACATATCAGTATTTTTTATAGATTTATATATTCTGATCCTGAGGGTGAAGGAAGGAATTGGGATAAACTGAAAAAGAATTTGGCAGATAATCAGTGGCCACACATAATCCCTTACCAGAATCCTCACCTGCGACCAAGGCCAAGACCAGGTCAAACAGGATTCTGGTTGGACCAGGGATCAGAACAGGATTCACAAAGATAAGTTTCATATTGAATCAGATTACTGAGACACCACAGGACGGCCTTGAGTAGAGTAGAACATGAAAACTGCAGACATGAAAAAAGTAGATCTTGTAACTTGAAAATTTTACAGGAAATTGATGATTTTGTCAACTTTGCTGTGAATATTACCTTGCTCTCTCAGAGGTGTGAATGACCACTCAATGAAGGCATTCAGCCTGTGTGCAGAGGTAGTAATAGGTAGCCACAAGTTTGTTCTCTCTCTAGAAATATAAACTGAATCTGCAGAACAAAAAACACTTAAGAAAGAATCTGTAAACATTGGCTTAAATAATAAAGAAGGTAAGTACTTTAGAAATTACTTTCGTGTAGGAGCGCATTTGCGGTAGCTTAACTTAAAAATCTTGATTTGAATGAGAAGTAATAATAAGATAAATACTAATACATAGTCTGAATGTGTTGGTAAATTCATAATCCTAACCATCTGCCGCTGTTGTCTAGTATTGAGATATAACTTTCTGGAAAAAAATCAAAAATATTTGTTGTAACATAGCCCATTATATTTGATCAAATAAACTCTACTGAATGGCTTCAATTTTTTAAATTCATTTGCATTATAATTGTTTATAAAATGAAATCCTTGCTGTAAATTTTTTAATATAAATACCGTGCTTAGTGTGTTTAATTCTTAACATTGTTCTCATGTGATTTGCAGCTGTTTCAGGTGTCTTTATTGCAGTTTCTGCTTCTGAAACATTTCTGCGTCAAAGTTAGGGTCCCTGAGTCGTTTGTAACTGTGTGCATTTGTAAGAGTGCTGAGGTTTGTCTTTTCTGCAAATGAAAAGAATCTGCCTCTGAAGAATGACCTTTTCTGTGCCAGTGTATGAAGCGCTGGCCGGGGCTGCCTTGTCCCTACATGCTGAATTACACAGCATCTTGAACTGAAGATGTTTCCTCCATTTCTAAAACATTATTCTTGGCTGCACTTCTCTAATGTTTGGCAGCCATAGCTGCTTATTTTAGGATGTTCATTAAAGAAAAAAATATTAACAGGATGAGAGACAGCTGCAGGTACTGGAAGTATACAAAATTCATAATTACTAAGAGTAACTGAAGCATGTTATAGTATAATTCAACTGCAGAAACATCTGGCACATGCTATATTTGTCGTATGAGAGTTTTGCAGAAAGTACTTGCTACAGCTGGCAGATTTATCACCTGTCTGCCGAAGTACTAAAAGCTCACCTTTTCTTTCCTGCTCATTTAACAAAGATAATATGGAGCAGAGGCTGATTTGATCATTCAGAAGTTTGGATTACCTCTCAATATTAAAACCTCATAATGCCTGTTTGGGGGAGGGTTAACCATCAGGATGGATCAGCTTTCTAGACCAATAGCTGCAATGTTTCCTTATGCTTACAGAGTTAAACTATTTGTTTCCGTTAGACACATGTTCAGTGTGATGTATAAAAATAATTTCTTGATATACAGCTGCACATGAGAACATAAACACTGTTTCTAGTCTGTGCTGCTGAGGATACTATTTCTACACCTTATACAAATATTGGAAACAGATTGTTTTCAGAGACTTATTAAGGATTTTGAATTTAGAAAATCACTCTATTTGGATAGTCACCTTAAGATGACATTACGATGAAGTTGATTTGTCAGAATGTAATAATTTCCTTATTTTCAAAGACTTATTTTATTAGCATAGTTGAACATTAGCAGTCTACACATTGTAAGCGGTAGTGTTTGACAGTTTTCTAGGGAGTTTCATTTGAAAAGGTATGTTGCTGTCTTACAGATTTGAAATGAATTGCATGAAATTTCATTGTGAAGAAGAACGTTCAAGTCAATTTGCTAAGACAACAGTTGATAAAAAATGAACTTGAAGACCACATTCGAAATCTAGCTGTTCGTTAGGATTCCCATAGTGAAAGTGCTTTAGTTTGATGCTTCATATTGATTATAGAGGACAAATTGCAATCATAATGTTATGTATTAACATAATATCTGCAATTTTAATCTATCTTTACTCTCTTTGTTATATAGAAAAAATATTCACATGGTAACAGTGTTATGTGTGTATAATTTTAATTGTTTAACACGGTTTAAATATCTGCCTATATATTTTCATTTTTATAGCAGCTAGTCAAAAGATGGTGAGCTGTTTTTAATGATATCTAGTTGAGATTGGTTAAGAAGGTTGATAGCAAGAGAATGGGAACTACCAGTCAGCTATCCTTGCAAGCTTGTATTATTTGGTCGGTCAAGTGTTATACAACAGTTTTCAGTCCAACTTTTATGAAAGACTAAATTTAAAGGTTTTTGCAAGTAAATCACAAACAGTAGAGGCTTTCTGAAGACGGAAGTTTGAGTTTAAAAAATCCCCTACCCTACCTCCATTCTTCTAGAAGAAAATAGAGCTCTAGCTTCCTCTACAGGGCATGTCATTGCGGTAACCAGCCGAGCACCTAAAGGTTAGGTATTGCCTTTGTGAGCGTTGTGCTTATATAGTCATGAAAGCTGTTGTATTTCAGCGTGCTTCCGAGTTGGGAGGGATAGATAAAGTGAGAACAGACTTGAAAATTGTTCTTCACAAATATGTTTGAACCCAAAAGCAGAAGGTGAAACTGGTGGGTAAGGATCTTGATCACACTATAGTTTTACCATTGTTGCTAGAGGAGATAGAGGTTATAGCAGCCTGCTTGGTTTTGCAAATTCCTCTGCCTGAAATTACCAAGTTCAGAGATTTTTCTTTTCCATCTTTTGTGTCAACCTCCTCCTTTTGTGGCTTGCTGATAACCGAAGGCAAGAGCTGTTCCCTTTGAGTACCAACTCAAAGACGTCCATCTTAACCCAGATATTTGGTGTCTGCACTACTGTACAAATTAGGTTAGGATCACTAGAACTCAATTAATCCAAAAGTGAAAAGACCACTTTTGAAGAAGCTGACGTGTTTTCCTTTTTGCTTTGAAATGTTGCATTGTTCAGCGTGTCAGAAAGTTTACAATGATTTGGTTTTAGGTACTTCAAAGCATCTTCAGAAATGTCCACATTGAAGTCTGATTATAGGACATCAATTAGATGGTTATTCTAAAAATTGAATGCACTACAAATGCAGCTTATGTTTATAACCAACATATTTAACGATATGCTTGTAAAATAAAATGATAAACAGCAAAAAATATACCTGTAAAACATCGAATGCTCTTGGCAGAGTCCAGTTGACTGTTGATTTTAACAAGTACTCGTTCCTCTGCCATTATAGTCCTGAATATGCATTGTTAAGAGGTGCAAGCTGCAGTGCTTTAGAAATGAACGTGTTAAGAGCAATGTTATAAATGCGTCATAAACCCCTACAATGCTTCAAGAAAGTACCTATGAGATAATAGTCAGGTACCTGATGTACTACTGTGTGTTCATCAGCATCTTTTTTTCTGATTAACAGAAGTGAACTGAGTCGACAGAAACTTCGCTCCCAAGAGCTCCTTTCTCAGCTGGAAATGGCAAATGAGAAGGTAATTGAGGTAAGATAATGATTAACGTGGCAACTGCTTTCAGCTACAACCTGATGCACATACACTAGGATCTTACCAGAAACTTTTTTTAGATGAGTTAAGTTGCTAGTTTTTAAAAACTTAAGTATTTTTGTCAGGAACAGTTGTAGCTTGAAAAACCCGCTCTGTTTCTGCTGCCATGTTCAAATGGAACAGAAAGACAAGTTAACTTTATTCTGAAATTATAAAACTGAATAAAGGAGAGATCCTCTTTCACGGTTCCTACTACTGCAAATTTAGACAATTCAGAAAATGTTTCTGAAGACACTTGTTGCTATGTATGCTTGCCTCTGAAAGGGAGGAGGCATTGTGTTATGTATAATGTAGCATGTGCAGAGAGGTAAAATTTTTCATATACTACATGTATAGTAGAATTTACAATTCCTGTCTGTGGGTATATGCATATAGATAAAGCATTATCCATTGAAGGTTAAAGGCAGGGTTGTTTTGGAATGTGCGTTGTTTAATAATTAATGGTCACTTTAGAAAATAGCTATCCTGTCAGTCTGCCTCATAAATCTGGGATAATACCTAATTCTATCTGGGATAAGTCCTTACATGTTGTTTTTTTGTAATGCTGTATTATTTGGAGGAGAAAAAAGGGGCTGATGTGAGAAAAATTCCGTTTAAGTAAAGGATGGTTAAGAAAGACTTTATATCTTCCCTTTGATGAACAGAAGAAAAAATCTAACACAAAAGATGATCTCATCTGTGTTATTTTGTAAACTCTTTTCCACTTTGAGAATAGCTAAAACTGTAAAATAGTGTAAGATTGTGTAAACTAAATTACTTGAATTAAAATGTCAGCTTTTATGCATCTGCCTTAAAGATGGTGAAATAAATAAAACTTCCTCTGAAGAGTACTGTGATGGGAAAAGTGGTGTAATCTCATCAACTCCGGTTTGTATGTTTGATCTGGAAATGCTCTATTATGTGTCAGCAGTGTGTCTTCAGTCTTTTCTTTTTGTAGGAGGTAAACAACTAAATTCATAAGTTCCTGTTGCTGTAAGCTTTCTCACTACAGAATGTATGGAGCTGATAAAGAGAGCTTCACATTTGTAATGAGGTATTTCATTTATTCAGGATGAAAAATTAATGATGGAATATCGAGAATACATCAGTAGGCTTCAAAGACGACTAAGCCAGGCAGAGCAGAGGGCAGCTACAGCATCTCAAAAGGTACAGAGCTTTAACAAAAAACATGTTATTTTCACAAGCATACAAAAAACCCTTTGAATATTGCATAAAAACAAAACAAAAAGATTTTCCCCAAGGCAGAGGTGATCGTTTATGTGCAGTATTACTAACATAATTTGAATGGCAAGCTTATGTTTTGAATGGGTCATCACAAAACTGATGAATATTCAATTAAATACGAAGTCTTCCTCTGACAGGATGCTTAAGTGACGTAGATCTGTTTAGGGAAACAAACTGGATGTGAATTAAACTTGTGTGGTTCAAACTGTGTGAATGAAGGTGTATGATCATTTCCATATTCAACAATGATAGAAAGTTAACAAAGGTGGGTGTGTGTGTGTGTGGGGGGGGTTCCTTTTCATGTCAAATTAAATTCAGGGCTATAAAGTTAAAGAGCTACAGCTCCTGTTTACGTATAAATCAGGCTTTTTTTAAGCTTGTTGCAACTTACTTTAGCTATCGTGGGTGATGGCTTCATGTGATAAAGCACAAACGTGCTAATGCCTACATCTATCTCCTGGGGAGCCTCTATCAGATTAAAACATAAAGCATGTTTTTAGTTGATGGCTAGAGAACGGTCTCTATAAAAATTGTTAGGTAGCATAGCTGTTTTGTGGGAATTCTATTTGGTTTTGGTTTTTTCTCAGGCAAATTAAGCTCCCTCATCTAGTTCATTGCGCGGCTGCACACACAGGGTGGGGAGATGTGTGCAGTGGGTGAGGATAGAATCAGTAGTGTGGACCTGTGCGGTGTTCATCAAATGGCAACCTTGAGCACCCTTCGTCATGTCATGTGAACTCCCTCTGTTGTTAATTTCTTGTCTGCACGCCTGCGTTTTCATTAGCAGGCTCCAGTGGCTCTGTCCCCCAAGATTGCTGGTGAAGCACGCCCTACTGTAGTTACCATCAATTATGTACCATAAGTCCTGTGATATATGAAAAGTAGTGAAAATTGTGCAGACAGTCAGAATAGGAGATACTTGGTTTTCTTCCGGGCATGGGGAGGGGGCAAAGGAAGGGAAGATGTTTTTATCTCCCTGCAAGGGTAAATGTGCCTAGTGCATGTTTCAGTGACCCTGAAAACTTCAGACAAGCTGCGCCCATTAGAGCCTTGTATGTGCCTAAGACTTTCTATGCGCCTGTGTGATTACTTAATGGGCTGAATTGTTGTAGACTTTTTTTCCAGTCCTCTTATAACTCAAAATTCTAACTTTGACCAGTACCCTTCAATATTGTCTTGACATAAGAGCATTTTGGGGAGGAAAGTTTTGCTCGTCTTCCAAGGGGAAAGAAAGAAACTTCAGGCTGTAGTTGCCTTAAACACTCGGCTATGTATGGCACAAATGCCGTGTTGTCTCTGCTGGACAGAAGGGCCTTTTTTCCCATCTAGCATTCCTCTTCCCATGCTGTCCAAGCTGTACATCTTGAAGCCAATCCCATGGAGGGTTTCTACACTGGGTTCACTTATTTGACAAGCAAATTTGTTACTCAGGTTGGTCTCCTATAAAGAAAAGGCAATCCTTCTACCTCCTAATTTTATATGATAATTTAGGAAACACTGTTTGCAAATTACAGCTTTTTAATGTGGGTGTTCCCACATGAGTTGCAGAAAGTAAAAGTTCAGTCAGTCCAAATTGTCTAAAAAGGGCAAATGGCTTTTTTTTTTTTTCTTCCTAACAGCAATGAGTAAGTGGACATAGCTGCCAAGCTATTGTAACGTAAGCTATCTTTTCTGGCTGTAGATGCTTTCTGTCAGTACAAGGTCTGTCCAGCTGGTGAAGATTTGCTCTGAAAGGCTGATTTTTTTTTTTTTTTTAATTTCCTTTGTCCTATGGATCTATTAGCTCCAATATTTCTGAGACGCTTTCTTGCCTAAAGGAGTATGGTCACATCAGCTTCCAAGGGAATAAATTCACGGCCTCAGTACGCCTATAGGAAGAGGTCTTGCTGAAAACATCAGAAATTATCTGTTACTCATCAATCTCCCTCTGAAACGTAGCAAAGCAGATTTGACAGGACATGTAGAAGCTATTTGGTTGTCCAGATCTTATTGCCACTCTTTAGAACTGCCTTTCCGTCTTCAGGCTTGGCAGCGACTACTGCTGACAGACTACTGTCCGGCCGGCATGGCTTCTCTGTAGTGACTCAGAAACTTTTCTGTCAACCTCTCTCTCCTTCCCCCAGCAGCCCCCCAAGCCCTACTGTCAATACTTCTGCTAAAGGCTGGAAAAAGGGGTCTTCAGGAGTACTGGTACAAGAACGTCTGCTCTTCTGATCCTAAAGAAAGGAAGTCTTCATACTCTCCTAGGTCTCAAAAGTCTGTATGTCTGTATTTGCCTCCTCAGATTCAGGATGGTAACTCTTCACTGTATTCTTAATTTGTAGGTTCAGGGCTGCTTTCTGACTTGACTTAATTGTGTATTCTCATTATCCAGTTTACTTGTAAATCTTAAGTCCAATGCAGGGTAGAAGGACTTTACCATCCCTGTCTTAGAGCTTACTGAACTTCCCTCGTGCCTGCATGCTTGATTACATATGTCACACACATTGGCAAAATTCATTCCAAATTCTTCCCACAACTGCTCGAGGGGCTTAGCGTCTTGCTGAGCTGAATATCCTCAAAGGCAAAGGTGAGTTACTCGCAGCATTCCTCCAGTGGGCAGATAGAGCTCCTGCACTTGTCATTGAAGCTCAAACTGCTGGAATCAGCTTGCAAAAGCAAGTTGACTAGGGAGCAATCTGCTCATGTTTGTGAAACATTATGTATTTGACTTGGCTGCTAGATTTAGTGGCAGGTTTGGTAAAGCATTACTCCAGCTTTTGCTGACTGATGCAGCTGCTTTCCTGCTCATTTCATCCTAAAGAAGATACTACAACCTGCAACGTGAAAGTAGAACTCTGTCAAAGAATGAACGATGCTTACTCCTCACCTTACAGTTTGTGCGCTTCTGAGAGATGTAGCTACTATGGATGGCATCATCCTTTCTGCCTTCCCTGCTCTTAACTGAGGGAACTGACATTCAGTTGTTTCTGTGTTCCCTTGAAAACATATTTGAAAGATGCTAGTCATCCATGTGGTGTGTGTGTGTGTATATATATATAATATATAAATGTCTTCATTAGGATCTGCATCAATTACAGCTGCGGTTCGTCTAGGGTAATTAACCTCTTTACTTGTTTTAAGCTTTGCGGCAAAGCTAGAAATTAGCAGAAAAAGCAAACCTGGAAGCTCAGGTGGCATCTCCGTAAATTATTACTGCATACAAATATTTAGTAATAGGCACAATTGCTGCCAAAGTTGACATAGGACAGATCTTGAAGGCTATTCAACAGGATTAGGACCTGGATGTGATAGCATCTTGAGAAAGACATCTGTGAGAAGCAGCAGCACTGATTTTTTCAAATGCAGAGGGAACAACCTCTTGTATATTTGCATGTACCAGCGAAATACTGCAACTAAGATGATATGCAGAGCTATCCTTATTCTGCTGAGTTTCTGCCAGCGCACTTAAGTTTTACTGGGGGAAGGCTGCCTCTGGAAGATAACTACCTCTGGAAGGTAACCTGCTGCAACAACGTTAACATTTAAAATTACCAGAAAGGAGCGGTTGGTTGCTTCAAAAGTGCGTGCTTAAGGGGTTGGTCCCATATTCCTTTCCCTCAGATGCAAAGCTTTGGTCTTGTGTAAAGATTGCCACAAAGCTGTTTCTAGGGCTTCAATACAAACCAGATACATTTGTTGGTGTAGGGTAAAATTTAATACTCTGCTTTTCCATCTCTCTTTCTCTCTCTCTCTCTCTCTCTCTTTCAAATGCAAGGTTCTTTTAACGTACTTCATCACATTGATGTGTGATGTCACCGTGCATTCCCACAAGCTGTTAACTCAGCCTTTCTGAAGAACAAGTGGCCAGAGACAGGGCAGGAGAGAGCTCCTTAAGCTGGCATAGGTGCCTGGGAACATGAAACTTAAGGCCTAAGTAGGGCGCTCATTAATTTTCAGCCCACTGTCAGATAGGTGACTGTAGGAGCAAACTGTTGCTTTTTGCCCTCTAAGCCAAAAATGATCACTTTCCAGTGATGCTTTATGGTGTGCTGTAGCTTATGCGGTATTTTGTTATGAAAGAAATATTTTGGTATGAAAAAAATGTTAAAATTACCAGTGTTTAGGTTCATGACTAGAAATCTTAGCTTAATATTAAATAACAGTACTTCAGTGAAGAATCATTCAAAATAAAGGATCATTTTTGCAGTTTTAAAATGTGTGCATTTTCTATGTTAATGTCTTTAAGTATACTCCTGAGAGCCTTTTTTCCATCATTTGGAATTCTTTGGGATCTGAAATGGGATAAAAACAATAAGCACCTATAGACTCTATTGTAAATTCTTTTGTTTACCGTGAATTCTCACTTGTCTAAGCTTGTTCCAACTCTTCCATGACATTTTCTGTATTGATGTTCTACTAACGCTCAGGTCTTAAAACAGTTTTTATAAGAAAGGGAAACTATCTGCTTGTTTTTAATTACAGCTCAGTGTGATAACTGCACACAAGAAAAAAGTTGCTTCCCTGAAAGATGTGGAAAATATTTAAATATATGTATTGTTCATTCACACCATGTTGGAGTTGAGAAGATTGCTGGAGAAACTCCATACTGGAGAATCGAAGAAGTCCAACGGCTAGCAAGACTTGTAAAATTTGCAGAACCATTTTCTATGTATTTTATTCAGGTAAGGAAGGGGGTGGAGGAAGCTACTCTATGCATAGTAAAGACAGGAAGACAACTGCAAAGATGATGTAATTGAAGTCCTTCAATGTAGCAAATTCAACAATATGATACAGTGCTGTGGTATATTGGTCTTTTTGGTGAAAATCACCACCTCCAACCATGACAAAATTGTGCACAGGGACTAGATAGCGGTATATTTGAATTAGTAAACATCTTTGCTCACGTATGATTTTTACCTTTTTCTTTCTACTTCAATAACTGCTGAACGTTCTGAAGATACTTTATGTAAGGTGTGCTGAAATTGTTTATGAGTTATAAGAAGATACTAATTATGCCACAAACGTCAAATCATTGCTGTTTTTATAGGCGGTGTGATAACTGGGAAATGCTTCCATTGTGTTCCATTTGTAAGGCTTCAGTTCAGATTGTTCTGATGCCCCTGGAAAACAGTTAATAAATAAAAGCGTTGCTATGGTTATTCATACAGCTAGATTCTAAGGACCTTAATCCTTTCTCAGTTGTGCTTTTTCTTCCTAATTATTATTTTACATTTGTTCCTTGCTTTTGTGTTTATCTGCTCTCTTTGGTTTATTTGTGTCTGTGAACTTGAGATACCTAGTACTTCAATTTGCACAAAGTCAGTAAAGTCACATCCAGAAAAATCTGCAGCTTTTATGCATTCTGAAACAGTATGCTTGAATTCTGCAGTTTCCAGAATGTGGGGATCCTCTGGGGGACAAGTTTGTCTTTAGCAGATGAGAAACTCCAACTATATTATTCTACGACCAGGACTGAACTCTGTTTGCTCGAATTTTGAAGTGGTCCCATTTTCAGCTAAAGTAATGTAATTTCTTGTCCTTTCTCTTAAAAGTGAAGGGTATAATTTGTGTTTGTAACTTCTAATTCATTGGATGGATAACGCTTACCCGGTGCTGCTTGGAAAGTGCGGTTTGGGACTATCAATCAAAAGCCCATAGGTGTGTCTCAGTGGATCAGCATCATATTTGCATCTCTGAGGACAGAACTAGTTTGATCACCACATGGAAGTAACAAAGTTTGTGCCTCTCCTGAAAAGCTTGCTAGTCTGGCAAAGAAGAGTCTGCAAGATGGAAGCAACCTCAAGGAAAATCTCTGCTTAAGGAAAGTTACTGTTTCCTATAGTCTCAAGTACCTTTTCTCCAGTGCTTTCCCAGTTTGAGATATCCATTTTAATTTCTAACAGAGAACATTCTGCTTAAGGACTTTATGCAAAGATTTTTCAAAGAAACATGGATAAATTGTCCTGAAGCTCCGAACATCTGGTGCAGTGAGATTTTTAATCAACGTGTGTGTGTGTGCGTGCGTGTGTTTTCGTACATAGAGGGAGGCAAGTACCAAGCACTTTATTTTCATTTGCATAGTGTGTAACTGCGTTGATGACAGACTACTACCATTCACTACTGCTCCTTGGAGAGATGCCCTAGCTGTGAAGCTAAACCTGGCTGGTAGGTGTGGGTTGTCTGTTTTTGAGCAGCGGGATTTGTGTGTCTGTTCCTTTGCTTCTAGAGGCACAGCAGACGCTTGCTTACTTTTTAATGATAGGTACGTTCATTTTCAGCTGTTGGTGTAGCTTTTGTTTAAGATTGGATATTTGCCAGAGTATGAATTGAGATGATGACCCAAGCACTTACGAGCATAAGTTATGGGGGCCGTGGAGCAGTCCTGGCAGATACTCCTCAGCCTTTCACCTATCTGCCTAGTCCTCAGAGGAGCTAAAAAATTTGAACAAATACAACTAGCCACAAAAGGGAATGTGGTCAAGTTCAGCTAACTCCCCCTCCTTTCATTTCAGTTTGACTACCAGAGCGGGTTCCTGGCTTGTTCCTCACAAGGTGGACTCTCCGAGGAAAGGTACTTGGCTGATGCAATCAGGATTTAAGGTTTGCTGGTTCTTCTTGTGACACTAGGTTAATGGAATTGAACACCGGGCTTTTTGATCATCATCTTTGGTTATTGAACCTTGTCACTCTTCACTGAGCAGTTCTTGTTTTCCCTGCCGTCCTTTACCATCCTAAAACACTAGCGTTAAACGTTTTAAGATTCTCTAGTGGGACAGTCATGCTCCCCAGTGAGTAAAACCTTTGTTGTTGTCTCCGTTTCTTTAGGAAAGTAGTTTCTACATGCTAGTTTCTTCCAGTCAACAGGTGAGAGAGAGAGACTGAATATGTACAAGTTTCAGTCTGGGTCTTCCCTTAACCCCTATTCCTTCTGGTACAGGTCACTTTGCATACCTTGGACTGTTTCTCAAAAGAGCTGTCACTGCCTACAACCAGCTCCGGCATAGCCGGTTGAAGTGGCTAGCAGGCTGCCCTCAGCTCTGAGCGAGTCTTCTTTGTGTAACCCCAGCAGTGCAGTACCTTTCACAAATGCAGCCATAAGCACCACCTGTAAGGCAGCTTCAAGAACCCCTTTCAGGCTTTTAGTCCAGCTTTGAAGCGCTTGATGTAGTAGTACCTCAGCTGAGGGCCATCCTTTAGTCCTCCTCCTTTTGCACTGTTCTGTGAGGGGGCGGCACTCTCAGTTGCCTACACCACGAATGCACACGCATGTAAGTACATACAGATTTGACAGAGAAAAGTTACTTCCTGGTAGCTGTTTTTCAAAATGTATATACATTGGCCACTTTGTCTTTTTCTTGCTCTGCTGAGTCCATGTTTCAGCACCATGGGTTAAGAGGAACCAAGGAGGAGGGACAGGTTGTGCCCCCTCACCTGCTTGGAGGAGCCTGTGTCCTACAGGTCCTCTTATAGCAGCAAACGCCTCTCTGCCAGTGTTGCCTGAATATAGGTAATTCATAGCATGGATGTACACTCAGCCTGCTTACCTTGAACAGCTACGGCTAAGAAGCCTCATTTGCTTCTCCAGGGGAATGCGTATGAAGATTTTGGACTTCAGAAGAACAATACATGTCCAAGAATTTAAATTGTTTGAGGTAAGCAACACCTCTTTGAGGATGTCAAGAAAAAAAGTCAGTGTACAATTTTTTTGCTGACTGGATAGGCACAGCTGTCAGTAATGAGACCTCATGCTAATCCATGCAAATAATTTTTTTTTTGCCACCCTAGTATGCATTTTTGATAATGATCCAAATTAATGCTTATTTTAACTATTAAAGTTGTTCAAATCATTGCAGTAAGTGTTTATGCAAAAGCCCAAACAGAATAATTACTGCAGATTCTAAAACACTACTACAAACATATTGCAAAAATGTACAGCATTTATTCACATACAGACAAAAAGGCACAATTCTACTGAATATTTTAACAAAAAATACAGCTGTCTTCAACTAGGTCTTTATAAATACTTCAAAAAAGGGGGAAAATAAATACAGGATTGGGCCATGTAATATAAAATAGTCATCTCTACATATACTTTTTATTTCTATCTGTTTCTCTTCATGCACCTTTTTAATTAATTTTAGCTGAATGGACACCAAAGCTAGGCACATAGTGAAAAATCTTCTGTACAAGGTTTTACAAATGTAATGACAATTTTTTTTTTCAAATTTCTGAAATTAAGATTTATACACAACACGTATAACCCTTCATTTAGATTCGTGTGAGTTTATAACCTAACAAATGGCATTCCAGGCAACTTTACAAAAGTTTTAACTAGCCTACGGTTTGACATAATACACCAATCATAATCAAAAGATTTCTTGGTCAGTCTGCACAAGAAAAGGTAATGCTTAAGAACAGAAATTCAGCAAATGGTTCTATCCCAATAAAATACAGGGGGTGGATTTGTATCGTCACTGCTGTACTTAGACACCTCTTCTGCTGAACACTAAGCATGGGAGACAAAACTAACCTATAGAGCTGGTCATACTGCAGTCATCTTACAGCTTTTTGTATTACGGGGATAGGGGGAAAGCGCCTTTTTTTTTTTGGTTTTGGTTCAGCATAACTTGAAACATTAGAAAGCTTATTAACCTAAACGTTGGGGAGCAAAACAGATAAGGCATTAATTCTGCACAATGCTAGCATTCATAATAGTGCAAATTAATCGGGTACCTCTTTCAAACTGGTGTGAGGTTAAATGTTTACTCAGAATCAAAATTTAGGTTATTCCATCTATGGCTTGACAAACAAGTCCCTATATGTCACAAGCTTCTTACAGAAACTAACAATGCTTGTCTAGAAAAACGTTGCTATATGTATGTTGAATAGAACTACTTGCATTTACCTTTTGCCTGTCTTGTTGCTTTCTGATCAAGTAAGTACTCTTATTTTAACGCATCCCAAGAATGACTCCACAACTTCAGATTCACCAGTGCCGTGTTAGACTTTAATCTGGCCAAGTCATGAGGTTAATCTCATTTCTTGGGCGTAGAAGTGGTATTTTAAAAGTACACTAAAAATTTCCCCTCCTCACCATCATCCCAAAAGGTATCAAAAGGTTAAGACTTCCAGGTTTTAAAACGTGAGTGACAGGGATGCTTTCTGTCGAAATAGTCAATTAAGTAAGTAAGTGGTAACTTGCATAGCAAGACAGGGTGTTAATAAGCCTCTTTCTGATTGAATCCTCTGGAAGACTCAGTTATGGCAGAGTTCTACTGTATTTTAAAATTTTCCCTGCTCAAGAGGCAAGGGTCTAACAAACATTAAAAAATAACTGACTACAATAACAGTAGGCTAGGAGTAGACAAGGGAGGGGTTCTTCTTTAGGCCTGTATTTTTGTAACTAACTCATTACTGCTTAAACTTTCTTTTAACTAGTATATACCTGACTGAAATCTATGCAGAATTCCAAAAACGTACAGGCTCCTAACAATCCACTGTTATGTGTGCACTCTACCCAGCACAAAACAGTATCCTAACGAACTGTTAATATTATTGCTGATAGCTTACTAGTTATTGCCATTTGCAATTATTTAAAAAAAAAAGTATGCAATCAGAATGTGAGTTCCTTCTTTCTTCAAATCTAGTCCGGAACTGAATGAAATAATTTTTCTTCATTTGAATGTGAAGAGCTAATCACAATTTATTGCCTTTCCATTTTATTCCTCTTTAAAAATATATATTTATGTCTATTTTAAAGTAATCCTTTAGTGTCATAAGCCTGGCTTTCCCAATACATACCATTAGTGCATATGTGGTGGGCTTTGGGAAATCCTACTGACTAGTGCCTTAGAATTTTTTTTTTTTCCTTGAATTGTCATTGTATTCCAGGAGGCAGGTGACTAAATGCTGATTCCACAGGGTGCAGTAACCCATAAGCCTGCTCTCTTCTCAAAGCTAAGCTGGTCAGGAGCTCTCTCCATGCTCAGCCCGAGTCTTTTCAAGCTGCTGCGCTGTAAGGCAGCGGCAGCCCTGACCTGTCCCTTCCTTTTTCTCCAGTATAAAATCATGTTTATATCTGGCCATCTCGTAGATGTATTTACATGTAAACTCTGGAGTTTATGGAGGGGTTTTGAGCTGCCATATACGCTCAAATTGAATGCAACAAAAAGCATTCTGCAAACAGAGGACAAAGACCTACCACCAAGGAAAGTGACCATTTGTACGGGGGTTTAGCAGTGCAGTATGGTTAAATAACCACCTTTGATTTAGTACACTCTAGTTAATTTAACAGCTTGTGCTTTTTTTGGAAGGCAGGGAAGGGAACACCACCACCACCACCACATCAGTGCTGTTTACTTAAACAGGGATGAATGCAGCCTACCTCCCCCTACCCACCCTAGCCCCTTTAAAGTTTTTAGAGAGTTATTTTAGTGTTCATCACAAATTCTGTTTTAGTAGTGATGTCATTTCTCTGCTTCCTCAGGAAAGTTACTAATAAAGAAGGGTCATATTTCTCACAGATTGGGTTGGGGGGGGGCAAAAAAAAAAAAACATACCTTTTAAGTGCATGTAAACATGTTTATACAGCTCAGGAATAAACAGGTTCAATTTGTCAGTCTGTAGCCATGTCTAAGACCTCTCTCCTCTCACACCAGTACGTGTGTGGAGTCGGCTTGTAGGCAGTGACTCTACTGACCTCGGTGCTGACACTATGTCCCTCTGTGCAGTCAGGATGCCAGGATGCTCTGCCTAATAATGTCTGTCCTCCTGTTGATCGTGCTGTTGGGACTGAGCCTCTGGTGTCTGCACTTTTTTTCAGCCACTTCAGTTTCCGAGTCGCTCATTTCGGCATCAGGGATGTACCCATCATTCTCGCTGTCGGGCTTTAGCTTGCTTTTCGCCCTGTCCTTCGGTGAAACCCTGCCCACGCCCAGGTAGGGGTAGCTGGAGTTCTGGCGGCAGGTCTCCTCGGGGCTCTCGCCCTGCTGCTGTCTCTCCCCCTTCTTTGGAATTCGGAATCCGCCCCAGTTTTTCACTGGGCTTGTGGGCGTCGTAGGCACTTTAACTACCGTCTGATTAGAGTTTATTTTGACGAGACCTCCGTTGCATTTAGGCACTATATCCCTCCGTGTGCCAGGTGCTGACCTACCACTGGAGTGGTTCACAGCCCTCTTATTTTCTGATTGCCTCTGAGAGAGTTCTGTGGGTCTCAGCGGTTTGTGGTTGTGTTTAGAAGTCTTTTCCTTCAGTTCTGCCTTGATTACCTCACACTGTGGACGATTGTCTCTTCTTTTCCTGTGGTCTGGTATAACTATGCCATTTTTCTGCTGTGCTGATACAACGCGTGCCTCTGCAAAGGTCTTGTCAAAATTTATAAAGCTACCTGGAGTTGCACCACCTTCCCTTTGGCTGGACTGCCTCAGCAGGGTTTTGCTGTCGTTCCCAGAGCTATTTCTTACTCTGCCACTCTTGTGCGATTTTTTCAAAGAGCGGGTTAGAGACGTGCCCATTTGTTTCCTGAAGAACGCAGAATGCCATTTCAAATCCTCTATCTTAGGGGCATCAGGACCCAAGGATGGACTATTAAACAACACCATGTTTTCCACTGAGGAGAAGGAAGAAGGCACACCTAAAGGTAAACAAATTAAGTTAAAGCTAAGCAATTTCATGAAGCCTGTGAGGTGTTTTTCAGCATATATGGCCATTTGGTGGCATATCCAGCAGTACGTGATGGCCGTGTGAGTGCCTATGTAGGGAGTTGACTGCGTACTGCCAATGTGGGTTACCTTCCTTGTAGCAGTGCTGCACCTGTTATACTTGCAGTGAACGTAAATCCCAACACTGCTGCATGCGCTAAGACAGAAAAACTCGGGGTGGGGAAGCAACCAGCAAGTATAGATCTGACTGATTGACAATTCTCTCTAAAATGTGTATTGTTACTGAATACTTTAAGGACAGTCTAGTTAGTTAATCACTTTAAAGTTTTTAATCTCTGAGAAAAGACTATTGCCAATGAGAACAGGCAGAAAAAAACATGTTGTTTAAAAACTTACTAGATACCTTTCCCAAATTCATTTCTTTAAACTACCATCTACGGTGCAAAAAAACCCCCACATATTAAACACTAACACAGCACTAATAAACCACAATCTTATTAGGTACTGTATGGCACTTATATGTCGCTGCCATAAGGAGTCATTAGTTTAAAAATAAAAATCATATCAGAAAGCATCTGAAGCAGCAAGCCATTCAGTACCCTATGGATAAGGGCACAGATGTACCAGTTTCTACGGCAATGTGACCACCACTAAAGCTATGGCGATTGTCATTTTTCCTCCAACCTGCTGACACGTGGTGGACTACACAAGATTTTAATGAGAATAAATGAGGTCCTGTTGTCCTTCAAAGTCAGTCATTAGTCTCTAACCAAACTTTTTAATGCTTGTGCCTGTGGTCTTATCCTTAGATGTGAAAAAGGTAACACTGAAGCGTACCTGAAACTCGTTCCTGTTCCAACTGCTTTGCGTAGAGGTTAAATATCTGTTCTTGAACTTTGCAAACAGATCTCTTGATTTTTTCCCTTCGAGTCACCATGTAAGTGAGATTACGTACCTAGAAAGCATCCAATTGATGAGTTTTACAGAAACTGTATCTCTATGATGCTACAGATCTGTAGTTTGAAAAAAAAAAATCTCTTGCTCAGGATAGGTGGAAAAATCGTGCTGAAAAGCATTTTGTACGTGTGTGAATTCAGCTTACGTATTATACACCATTTAACAAGTTAGCTATGTAAGCTTAACCTCCTCCTTCAATACACTTCCTAGAAAGGACTATTACATACCATGTAACTGACAGATTAATCCATCAAATTTAGGGGGGCTCACAGTACAGAAGTAACTCCTCTGAAGACTTGTACCATAAATATGCAGAAATCAGGAAATGCTTAAATATACTCTGTGATGAACAGCCTAGCACCATTTGTCTCTTACCATTTGAGACAACACAACGGGGAATTATACTAAATAATTACCCGGATGAAAACGTGAAGAGGTATTCAAGAGAACCAGTCTTTTTAACGAACTTTCCATTGCCGTACGATGGATCAAAATGGAGGTAGGCCAGTCCGTAGGTGCCATAGCACAGCATACTTGTAGCACAACGATATATTTTGACTGCCCTCAGTTATTTTTAGAGCACAAACTATGTTTTTGCCTTCAAATTCTGACTTTTTAGTCTAGACAGCTCTGTAAAAATCTTGGTTTCACAACCACCACTCTCTACAAGCATAATAAAAGCCTTCCTAGAACTTGGAAATTCTTTGCCCAAAGAGGGAATTGCTAAGCATTGCTAACCCCGGTACGTGGGGGTTTCCTAGGCTCCTCTCTCAGTTCAACACAGCGGCGTACGACAAGGCACAGTGGGGGGTTACAAGCTTGTGGGCTGATCTCAAAACTCTTACGGAGGAGACATTTACCAATTGTGATCATTTTTGCTAAGGACTTGCTATATAAGGCCTCCAGTCCAGGCACAGCCAATAATTTAAGAAAGCGTTAAGTAGTTATCACTACTCTGTAGATTTTAAGAAGAGATTCATCTGGCCTGATATCCTTTCTGATACAGTCTACAGCATTACTGTTCCTTGCCCTGCCTGATCCCACCTGCAGAACAATAGACATGTCAGGTCCACAAAATTAATTACCTACGTTTTTAGGTAAAGTGCATGCCACCATTTCAAAATCTGTTTCTACATGGACAACATACTGTCACTAACGTCATCCATAATTACATCTACCAGACTTCATCTTGAAGAGGAAAAACACTGGGGACCGTTTTTGTCAGAGGTTATCTTGGATGTATCTATCAGGGAGAACAACAGAGCAGTAAAATACTAGGACTAGTGCTAGAGCAGTGTATCCTGTTTTGACACCACACTCCAAAAAAGGGAAAGGATATGGAATATGTTAAGATCCAGAGAACACAGTGATACACTCATCTTATGGAGCTGATCAAAGAAAAGATTAAAAGAAATCTGGAAAGAGAAGATGATAAATGCCAAATCCCTAATCTAGCAAAAGAAAGTCACTGGCTAGAAGCTGAAACTAGGAAGAACACTTTAAAAGAAAGAAAATGCAGCTATTCATTAGGAAAGTAATTAGCCATCAGGAACCTTTACAAAAGCATGTAATAGATGTTTGAGCACCTGAAGTCCTGACTAGATATTATTCTGAAGGAGAGCATCTAGTTCACCCCCAAGTTACTACAGCTGAGGCAGGACTTTCCGAGTCAGGTGCCATACGTAGCCTGCCCAAGACATACACTGTATGTACAAAACCAGACTAAACTAACCGCACTACTCTTTCTTTCTGTCCTAACTTTTCTTAATCTCTCTACTACTTAGTCCAGGGGGAAAAAAAAAAAAAAAAAAAAGTAATGAATTCAGGTCGTTACAGGGTCAGATGTACTTAAGATTAAACACCAAATTGATCCCATTAAACTGTTCTTTAGACACCCAAAACCTAATTAAGTGCAATATCATATGCCCACCAAACCTACCACACAAACAGCCCAGTGAAAATATCATTCTACTACTGTGCTGCGTCAATGAAAAAGACTGGCTCCAAATCAAGGTGAGTTTTGGAATTGTTCTTTCTAGTGCATCGGAAGTAAGGACCAAAGAAAGCTTTCAACGGCTCTCAAAAGGCACTACCTGCGGGGCTGCTGCAGTAGAGTCCGCCATCAGTGTAAGCAATAAAAAAACCATAACCTAAAATATGCCAATCCAGTTATACAAAGGCTGGATACTGCAAGCCAAAACCTGTCAACTCTCGTGGACTAACCTGCTATTTGAAGAGCGTAATTGGTTTAACCCGTTTTGCCCTGTAGAAGTTTAGTGTTGTAACTATCTTTTACCAAGCTGACAACAGAGCTCGGAGTTAGAAGAAAGCCAGGAGTACCTGCGTGCAATGACAACAACTGAGAGCGTAGTTTGGTAACTCGGCTAACAAGGCCCAGCACACCTTGCGCAAGCACAGGCGGTGCAGTGGCTTACCCGCTCCAGATCTTGCCGGAGGTGCGTGAAGAGCTGCAATCGTCTGAACAGAACATCCTGCTCTCGCTTGGCCAGATTGTCCTCTTCATCCTTCTTTGGGGTAATCAAGGGCTTATTGAAATTGGCTTTTCTCTTCAGCTTCCAGTACTCGTAAAGGAATCCCACAGGCTCCTCAGGCAGCCGCAGCGCTTTAGCCACTTCTGAAGTCTCCACAAACGTGTAAAACTCGTCCTCCAACTGCTGGAGCTTTTGCTTGCGGACGCTGACTCTGTGGGCCTCTTGGTTTTGATCGATGCCGTGGAAGGGGTCGATGTGAGCAGGAAGAGAGCTGTCCTGAAGCCCATTCCCATTCTCCTGGCCTGGGCTTTCACTGAGGGCCTCGTCATCTGCTTTCTTGGTGGAGCTGTGCTTGGGACAGTATGACTTAAACTTGACCTCATCATTCTCTGCCAGTATGGTCTTCATCTCCAAGCCACGGTCAAACGCACAGGTGACATGAAAGGCTGTTCTGCAGTTCTTCACTGAACACTACAGAAATTAAACTAAAATTAACCAAATAATATAAATTTAAAAAGCCACGCTGCCTATAAGTTTTCAAACAGCCAGGACTGCTTTGGATGAACAACCCTATTACTGGGCTCTGCTTCGAAGCTGCATGTACTCTCTTGCTCTCTTTTAATTAGGTTTACAATTTAGTGCTTTCAACCCAGGCAACGATCAAGCAGCCCAGTGGGAGAGGAGTGGTTAACCCCTCCCTGGCCCAATCATGCTACTCAATAACCAGCCAATCTACACAAGGTTCTTACAGTGACTGGAGCCACTCACTCAAAGCGGCATTACACAAAGCAAAACATTCCCCTTTTGACTGTGCCAGCATGAGAGGGAGGGGGAAAAAAACATCTCAGTGGCTCCAGGCTAGTCTGATACTTTTAATTAAAAGTCCTTCCCAGCACCTGGACCCATGCTACCCAAAAGGCCTCAACTGAGAGGATTTTTTTTCCCCTGTTATCCTAAGTTTATAATGTCAAATATTAAATCACTGTCAATCACTACTGCACTGACTGCAGCCTTTACTTCACCCGGGGGATGGAGGAGAAGGAACAATTCAAATTTTCTGTCATTTTTCATCCCTCCCCGTGAAACCTAGCCATCATGGATTGGCACTAGTTCAGCTTATTTAACATTTCATTTCAATTATTTATAATTTTCTCTTGCAAAATGCTGTCATAGCTATTACCAGTCACAGATTGAAAGGTTTAAATATAGATTCATGCACACACACACATACATACAAATGTATATCTATCAACTCACACCTCTGTCCCCAGTGAAAAGAATTAAAAGTGGAAATGAACGTTACTGACATTAACTAGGAGGGAACAAAACTACACTTTAACCCAAGTCATCTAACCTTAAAGAGAAATTCATTGCACTAGGATATTTATACAGTACTTTGTAAAGAAGCCAAGTATCTCTCTCCTCTGGGTTTTCCTGCTCAGGTTGACTCAGCAGCCAGATGGCACAAAGAGGTGCACTGGAGTTTAAATTGCAGAAGTTTCAAATCAACATTCTTTAATAAAATCTGTACATAAATTGACTTTAAAAAAAAAAAAAAAGCATCTTTTGCCCTTTCTTCTCTCACTAACAAAGAAACAAAGAAGGCAAAGCAGCCCAACTGGACACTGAATAATACAAAAAGAGTACTTTAGCCGGGGTTTCCAAGCTGCTATCGTTTAGAATAATTAGCTCCTAGTGTGGTAATGTTTTACTGGGAGAAGAGAGGAGAGCCTGTCTCATCGGAAGGAAATCTGCTGAACTTGGAAGAAAACGCAGTCTCGCTTTTCCCAGCTTACTGCAGCTGCTCTCTGCCCAGCCCTACGCATGCTTCCAGCTGCCGCCTTTTCTAATTGTTGTGAACTTCTCATAACATCTCTGGAGAATCTCTCTCAGTTCAGCCAGTTAATGCTACTTCCTTTCGTATTACAGCAACTTTGTAAAGCGTTCTTCTCTGTTGTGAAAAAATTTCACAACACAAATGAAATATTTCTCACACCTATCTTTCATGAGTCCAAGACTTGCACAATTCCTATGAGATGTCAGGCAAAACTGCAATTTTCTTCTCCCCTCCCCCTTGTAGCTTAAAATGTAGAACTAGCTAAAGTGGCAGCCATCGTGCCTGCATGCCATCCTGTGCCATGACTAGAAGGGACAGAGAAGTATTATCAGAAGAAATATGGGAGGACACCCCCCTCCTCCCCCTGCAATGCTAACACACATTAAAGGAATAAAAATACACATAAAATAACCCATAAAACTACCATAAGTTGCCCCTCAGAACATTTCTGGAGAAACGAACAAAACAGTTTCTCTCAACTACATATGAGCTGCCAAGAAGAAGGGGACAGATCGGCAAGGAGGTATTATGTTTACAAATTTATATGCTGTGGACAGATTTATTTTCTTTATTTAACATTTACTATTTTATCCATTTCTTAAATGGAAACAGACTGATAGGTTTCACTGGAGCTCCTGCTGCATTGCTGTTTTACAACTTTTTCTGGCAACCTCATCAAATGACTCAGAATAGGCAGAGGAAAACGGGAAATGGTTAAAATTTAATTTAAAGAAGTGAAGGATTTTAGGAATTTTTGTGTCCTAATTCTGGTGTTAGCATCATAGATTCTGTAACATTAGGCTAACCACAAAGTAATAACAGCTCTATTCCCTCAGATTCCCTGCTTGTAAAATAGAGACAATAATATCTGTCTCCGCTTTCTGAGAACCATTTTGCTGAGGTATCTCAAGCACTTTGAGGGCAAAAAGCATTACCACAAACACTAAGTTATATTTTATTATCTCTTTCTAAACAATGATATCGCTTCGCCCCAAGTAGGTCACACGCACTTACTCTCTCTCTCATCATTTGTTCCAGAGTAAGTTCAAACTTCTGTCTCAACTCTCGGCAAGCCAAACAGGTCCTCTTTCGCAAATCTGGGCTCTAGCAACGTGTTTTTCTCAATTGCTCTAGATTTTAAAATTGCTCTCAAAGTTGTTACTTAACTTCTCTGAGCGATTTTTCCACTGCAGAGGATCCCCAAGTGCTTTACACCAGCAGACTGGTAGAATTACGCATACAAAAATCACACTGCCCAGTCTGAAATGCTCTGGTGCAGATCAGTTCAGTTATTTAAGAGCAGCAACAGTTCCCATGCTCCGGTGAGAAATGCTGACTCCATATCCAATTGGAGCTGCACAGAGAATTCTGAAAGTATGCAGCGAGACAAACGGGCACTGGGCCAACAATGCAAGTTGCTGGTCTGAAACAGCTCCTTCGTGCTGGCTTTATGGTTAACGATTATTTATTTACTGCATGTGACTTTTTTTGGTGGGGGGGACTATGAAGGCTATGGTACTAGGAAGAGATTTTAATTTCTTTGATTCTGCCCCGTCTTGCTGTTTTGGGCAGTCATCGTCCCTGTGCTAAAGTGAGTATTAAGACTTAAAACAATAAAGTGAAACTGGTTCTATGGAGATGTAAACTGGGAAAGTCACACCCAGGAGGTTTGGGTTTTGTTTTGTTTTGTCTTTTAAGGAAAAGAGCCAAAACTCTGTATTTTACCCACAACCAGTGGAGGAAATGGGGCTCGTTTCCTCAGCTTCTGGCCTGCTTGAAGCTTGGGCAGACTAGTAAAGCAGCCCGTTTCTTTCCTACCGTTCAAAAAGCCTAATATTAAATTAAAAGAAAATTAAAAGCTGCAGCAACACAAATCCACAGTAACAGGAAAAAAAAAAAAAAACAAATTCATAATAACCCAAAAAGACTTGTATAGTATCACTGCCTCCTTAGTAATAAGAGCAGAGCTTGAAATTCACTCTAATCCCAGCTACACTCACAGCGAAAACGTTCCAACATTAGGTAGCGCCTAAAATTAGAAATTCAAAGCTAGAGCTAGCCAATACAACTAGTTTTATAATCTAAGTAAAGGTGTTCACTTCCACTGACTTCAGTGAGAGCTGGCGATGTTTAGCACCTTTGAAAGTCAAGTTGTTGCAGGAAATACACAACTCCCATTAACGTATCTAACTTGTCTCTGAAGTCCCTATTAGGGATCAGCAGATGGGTTTCAGCACAGAAGCTTTCAGCATATAAGCTTCATTTGTGTGTGCGGTACTTCACAGAAAATTAGAAAGCCTAAGAAGATGACTTGCCTATTATTACTAAAATTTTACTAGAAAGTAGGCAGCACACACTGACTTTTGAAAGCACTTTGTGTGCAATTAAATCCACACTAACAACCAACAAACAAACAAAAAAAAATTCTACCGTGAATACACACTTTGTGTATCTACTAAAAACAGACAAAACAAAACACACAGATATTAATGTTATTTAATTACCTGTATTGAAGCCCCAACTTTTTCATTACAAAGGCTGCACACTAACGCCCATCTACTGCTGGGAATGTGAGAAACCTTTGTAATAGGTTCCATTTTTTCTGGGCTGCCAATGCTCACCTACGAGAAAAAAGTTAACAATCACAGAGTGACTATTAATTGATTAGATAAGCAATTTTATCAAAAGAAACTAATTCCTAGAGTGCATATACCAAATTAGCATGTTCCAGTTTCTTCAGTTTATAAAGAACTAAAAATCAAAAGTTCCTTAAAAAAACAGAACAGAATTGGGATAGGGACAGGGACAGGATAGTTCTTCACTACTGGAACAAGATAGTTACTAACTGAGCACCACCAATTTAAAATTATTGGCAAGGATGAGTATTTTGATCATCAGAACCCCTCAGAATTCTCACCGTTACATCTGAACCTCCCCTTGTTCACCTTTAAATTTCAGTTTACAAAATAAAACAGTATTTTTTGCGCTCACTATAATGAACTTTTCCAGCAGTTATCCCTTTGGAAGTCTAATTATGGCTGACAAAGACAACATGATTACTTTCTTTATGATGTATCATCCTGTCAGATTTTACATCTAATTGAAAATAAATGCATTTCTGTTTAATCTTTTATATTGCCTTTCTAAGAAGTGTCACACACATATTACAGTCCTTGTAGCAATACGTACTAGGTTGAGCAACGTTTTTAACCAGATTTCTTCTCTCCCGGAGTCACTGTAACCCTAAGTACTGGTACCCCCACGGATCCTACCTCAGGAATCCACAGGGCACAGCTAACATGGACCCACTTGGTCCCACTCCGAGTCGGCTTCATGGCGCCACCCTTCTTGGGACACAGCAAACACTTGGGCTGAACGCCAAGCGCGCAGGTCCTGCACAGCCAGCTGCCTTCCGGCACCTTCAGGATCCCGTAACATGCCTGTGCTCCCGTTTACAGAGAAAGGAAAGAAAACGGAGGAAACAACATTCATTCCTGTTATTTTTTAGCTGTTTACATGTAGCCTCTCACAACTCTCAGAATGTTATTAAAATATATATGAAATAGAGATACACCTGCATATATATATTATGTATGTATCATGTATATTTTATGTACATATGCATGTTTATACCGGTGTATATTTTATATACTGGGTGGGTGGGTGTGTACACACACACACACACACACACAAACATAAGCTTGTGGAACATCTCAGGATCCTTTTCTAAACTTAGCCAACCACATTACCCATTCCCCAAACAGATTTTTCCTTTCAGTGAGAAGAGCAGGAAGCCATCACCAGCTGTTAATGTTTAAAAACAAACACACACACACACACACAACACACACACTGCTCACACTTCTACTGGGAAAATAAAGAATATTTTTACCAGCTCAAAGAGCAAAGGGACTACTGACAGACAGCCCTGCGAGCAGTGAGCTACAATGAAGTTCAGTAACAGAAAGACTACAAGTAACAGGAACTGGTCTGTACCTAATTCAAAAGGCAAGAACCAGGAATTCAAGAGCCCTGCTGTGCAATACCCAATGTTATTCCAAAGCATTGGTTTTTTACTTCTTATTCAGAGGGAGGAGTGGAGCACAGTGACTAATTAACACCACTTTCCTGAGAAGACTGTTTCTTTATGGAGACCTCCATCCAAACTACTGTCAATTTTAATCCTCTTTTAAGTTTCAGATTTGATGTGATTAGAGATTAAGGTGGAACAGCTACAGGTCTACAAACATCAACTTTACTCTTGGAGTACTTTGCAAGTTAGCCACTTTACCTTCCTGTTTTTGTAGTCGTGTTTCTTTACCATGTGTACAAATACATTTAAGTAACGCAAGCAAGAAAATGCCGTCTTGCTTATCAGACGACACAGCTTTCCTAACTCTGAATGACAAAGCAATCTTTACTTAGAGTTGGGAAGGGAGGACAGGCTGATAGGAAGGTATCTTCCACAATAAGCAGCAGCCAAGGAAACAGATACGCTAAAATAGTATGTCTGCTCTTCTGTGCTAAAAGGACTTGTTCAACTGCCACCAAAAGGCGGCACGTAATGGTGCTTGGTTCGCTCAGCTCAGGTCAGTAAGCTCTTCATTAAGGTAAAATTATTTGATTAAATCCATCTGTGTCCTTAGCAATTGCCTGCAAGTCCTTTTTTCCTCCCTGTTCAATCTGAGTTGCTGATACTACAGGTATCTAGAAGCGTGCAGAAAGAGGACAAAGGCCAGAACACAGCAACAGAAGTGACCAGATAAGAACGTACAACAACGTGTATCTGTATGTACTTATGAGACTACGCTTTATCTTGTTACTTCCTTCACACATATGCAATACCATCTTTTAACTCTCTTAGCGTGACATTTTTACGGTTACATGTAATCTCTGATTATACCATTCCTGAATTCATCCCACTGCGCAGTGCTCAATTCTGGAAAAGCTTAACAGATCAATGACTGTCACTGGAAAAATGCAACCTGTTATTTTTAAACTGTAATGGTTTGGACTAGCTTCTGTAAGCACCCCTGCATCCCCACTGTGCCTTGGCTGCCATACCTGGTGCACGCAAATATTGCATTTGTCACAAAACACCATCTCGTTGCCATCTTCCCCATCTGGAGACTGACAAACGTCACAGACAACATCTTCATCGTATTCAATCCCAAGGCCTTCCTCCGTCTCGATAGCATGATTCATGTTATCATAGCATCGCTGTTCAAATTCCTCTATGACTCTTTCCATAGTGTACTCGTCCAGCTCAGGCATCCCTGGGAAACAGGATTTGTTATTTGCTTGAAGAGAACCACCACCACCACACACGACTCCAGCTTCTTCTTTTTTTTTTTTTTTTTTTGAGTTTCTACCCTTCTGTAGTTTTTCAGAAACATTTTCAAACATTTTGAAGGAAGGGGAAATAGATTTCTTT